GACAGGAGGATGGAGCCAGGAGGGGCTGGGCTCTGCTCCCAAGGAACAAGGGATGGGACAAGAGGAAACGGCCTCAAGCTGCACCAGGGCAGGTTTAGATGGAGCTGAGGAACAATTCCTTCCCCAAAGGGTGCTCAGGCACTGGCACAGGCTGCCCAGGGCAGTGCTGGAGTCACCGTCCCTGCAAGCATTCACAAACTATGCAGATGACCTCAGTGCCATAGTTTGGTGGTGGACTTGGCAGCCCTGTGGTAATGGTTAGACTTGATAATCTTAAAAGTCTTTCTCAACCCAGTTTCTTCTGTGATTGTGGGTTTGGATGCACTTGCATGGCAGCTGGGGAATACAAAGGTCGCAAGCTTACCTAGCTTGACCTGAGCGGCTTGATAGCAAGAGCTGCTTAAGAAGTGGCGACATGGATATACAGGTGGGTTAACCACCCAAATATGAGTGTGATGTTGACTCCTCATCTCTCCCTATCATCTCCAAATTGGACTCGTGGTCTTCAGGGAGAAGGTTAGAAACAGCAAGCCCAGTTATTTCCTGTGATGAAATTTCAGAGCCCTCCAGACCCCACAGGCAGCTCTGCTACGAGCCTCAGATGAGCTCTGTTTCTGCAATAACTTTTCCAGAGAGAAGGAATTAGGAGGCTTAACACTTTCAGATGACAGTTGCTGGAGCTGCTGCCAGATAACAGGCACCAGGAGCGATCCAGGCCTCCTGATTCATCCAGCCCGGAAAGAAGCCCTGTTCATAAGAACCCACATGAAAAGGAGCGAATTGCCAGTTATGCAAAAGTCTTTAAGTAAAGCAATGCAAATCTTTCATGTGCAGCAGACAAGTGATACAGCGGGAAATAATATAACAGATAGAGAGGCTGAGAGGGGGGAATGTGAGTAAATCCATTTTCCAGAAGCAAGAGAAGGGACTTGCTCGCTGAAAAGGATTAGCTGGATAAAGCCAAACTGTGTTAGAAACTAAACATGCATCAAACAGAAACAGGGAAAAAACCCCAGGTTGTAAGAAGATCCAGTTCTGCTCCTGCTCAGAAAGAAAACTCTGTCAAAGGAATATCCTATGTAAACTTGCCGCACACCCCAGATCGTCAACAGGCATTTATCAAATGAAACTCATACCAAATGCAACTCTTCTTCCTAATCCCAAGTCAAACACGCTTTGTGTTACAGACCCTCAGGAAGAGATTTCTGTATGATCCTCCTCTGTCTCCATTTATGATTAGTCCTTCTAAATTTCAGCATTTATCTGACAAAACACACTGGGGAGGGCTTGCTTTCATCTGCAAAGCCTGAGTTTCTGCTTTTCCTTAGCTGCTGCTCTACCACTCTGCAGTCGCTCAGCCTGGGAGGAAAAGGCTTTAGTCAAGACCCTTTGATTGACTAAACTCAGGATCACTTTCCTGGTGGTGGTAACTCCAAGCCCTTGTGTTATGTGCCAACACCAAAGCAATCCAGCATTCAAAGGGGTTATAAATGCTGCCTCTGAGCCAAAGTCTTACTTTTTGGGGCTCAGTAATGCAAATAAAACACATGTGTGTGTGGGGTCCCACTCGCAATAGCTGTGAGGCCAATCTGTGGGGTCTTTGTAGTTCTGGGAAAGAATTTGTGGTGTCGAAGCATTTCAATCTGGTCTGGTGGAGCTGTCGCGCGGAGCCAAGGCTGACTCCTATGAGCAACCACAGGAGCACAGTTACCACTTGCTGTCCTCCTGCAGCCCAAGGTATGGTCCTCATTACCCCCCAAAGGGTATGTTTCGAACGACATATTCATAAACCCCTGAGCCTGATCACAGCTAATTTGAAGACAAAAAGGGGAGTGCATTCGCTTAACACACTGCTTTTTGCAAACACCATGATCGTTCCCAGATGCACTGCTTCTGCCCAGCAGCACTGGAGGCAGCAGGAGAGGAAATCATTTCAGTTCCCCAGAGTCACCGGCCTAAAGCAGTTTCAAGATGCTCCAGGAGCTCTCCTGCATCCGTTGAAGCAGCTCTATCCGTCTCCCTCCTTTGATCAGACTCAGCTTCTTCTGCTGTTCTTTTCCACACCACAGCACAGCAGCAGGAGCCCTGAACCCTTCTTTAACCAGAGCACTTGATATCACACACACAAGAGCTGCAAGGCAGCGTAAAGCCAGATCCAGGTTAGGATGTTACTTTGATCTCACCCATGGCAGAGAAATCAGTTCTACCAATTCCCAGCAGTCTTTCCTGGAGTGAGGAATCAGCTGTGGAAAAGCTTCCAAGAAAGGTTTAGGTTGGTGGGAAAGGTGAAATTTCACATGAGAGTTAAAGAGCTCTGCTTCCAAGGGACTCAAGCCAATGCAGGTCTAGATGCTAAGGCCTAACGCAGCTATGGAGGAACCTCTTTTATGGCATAAAGCAGCAAATCACCCTTCTATTTCAGCCTGTGGCAAGATACCCACAGGAAAGCACAGCTTTGAAGTGACAGCCAGAAGCTCAGAGCTGCATGAACTTTTTATTTACAGCTTCTTTATCCAGTTCAGCTACAAGATAAGGCAATAATAAGAATAGCAGTGCTCAGAACTTACAAAGCAACTTTTATCTGAAATCTCACCACAAGTTACAAACAATACAGGTCACTTGGTGAGACTTCCCCTAACAAAGTGCACGTTGCTCCCGGAGGGAGGCTGGTTGATTGAGGACCCTGAGCAGAGCAGCCCTAGGACCACCACAAAGCTGGTGGCTTTGCCCATGCTTTAGATGCAGGCAAAGCAAAGCATTGTGCCCAGGTCTACAAAGAGTATTGAGAGATATGAATCCAAACATCCTCTTCCTCTGTTGGCTACTCCACCCAAAAGTGATTTATTTACTATTGCCCTGAGCAGAAGCTACTTAACAGCACTGAAAAGCCTCATTGAACCAGAAAAGCATCTGAGATGCCTCAGTGGACGATGCTGTACACATAGGGGCACGGTGGTACTCAGAGATCTAGGTCAAGCTACATGCAAGAGAGGTTACTGATTTTCCTGGGCATGAATTTTTCATAAGCAGCCCTCCTGTCTTTCCCCATTCATACCTTACTTGCAAACAGCAAAAACAATTTATTGCACAAATAAAATTCAGCCGTGGGTCACTTGCAAATTAGTTAGTGTGATTTACAGAGCAATTCACTGTCTTTATTGATTAGGAGAAATTCCCTTCAAAGGTGTGTTCAAACACTTAAAACCCCATAATATCACATGATACTGCTTCTGCCCACTCAGAAATGGATATGGAGCTTCCCAAACCAGCCTCCTCAACTGTCATCTTCACTGTGGGGTTTTTTTGTGTTGATAAAACCCTAGAGTAAGCAGGATGGCCAGGGCAGATTTCCTGCAGTATATCTTAAACTGTGATTATTAATACTGCAAGAAGTGCTTTAGCAGAACTGTTCTCCAACAGCCCATTCATTTTTAATTGAACTAAGAAGAATTCAAAAGGCATTTATATGAAATAGGAACCCAAGTGCTGCATCCTTTCGATGAAGGTGGCTGATCTTCCCCCAGGCAACTTCTGAGCATCAGTGAGCCCGGTGCAGGGATGCTCACGGTGCAGAGACCATTGGTGTGGTGTTTGGTTTTAATTACTCATCTTGATCTAGCTGTTCTCTTTCCAGACCTGGCCTGGCTCATTCAAGGCTATCCTGACTGCACTGTCACAACGAGCTGAGGGATTTCACCTCCTCAGTGACTGTGGACATGAAACAACATTACCATTAACATTTGTTAATGGTGTTTTTAAGCAACTTCCCAGAAAGCAAAGCTGAAAACGTGCTTCCGGCGATTGAAGTCACCTCCAGCAGTCCCCATTCAGGTCTGCCTGTGCTGGGCAGGATCCTGCCCCCCTCCCAGCTTATCAGCTGCAGCTGGGGGATTTCGGCGCTATGGGAAGTTTCATTTCCTGCTCCTTGGGCTGCCTGTAGCTGGCCGGCAGCGTTAGTAAAAGGAAAGACATTCCTGTCATTCTTGCTATTAACCCTTTGGTGGTCTTGGAGACATGAGCCAAAACCAGCAAAAAACTAGAAAACTGGATGATCTTTAAGGTCCCTTCCTATCGAAACCAGTCTATGGCTCTATCAAGAAAGACACAGACTTATTTATGCTGTTAAGCACATTTGATTCTATCAGGAAAAGCGCAGGATGGTACCGCTGCATCAGCCCATCGTCACACTGCCAGCACAACTCCCATCTCTCCTAGTTTTCCTTTGTGCTTTTCTTTAATAAGAAGTGAGGTGGATGGAGCACAAACTTATATTAAAGTGTATTTGTGTTCGACACACGATTTATGATCCCTGTCCCAAGCAGTGCCTGACTGTGGCACCCGCACTGCAGCCCCTTCTGCTGGTGGTGCTCCTGGCTGCCGCCTCTGACATGGAGCCTGGCATCATACCCTACAATTTAGGATGGCAAGGAAAGAAGATAGAAACAAATCATAGAATGGTTTAGTCTGGAAGGGACCTTAAAGCTCATCCAGCTCCAACCCCTGCCACAGGCAGGGACACCTTCCACTGGAGCAGGTTGCTCCAAGCCCCTGTGTCCAACCTGGCCTTGAACACTGCCAGGGATGGGGCAGCCACAGCTTCTCTGGGCACCCTGTGCCAGCGCCTCAGCACCCTCACAGGGAGGAACTTCTGGAGGTATTTTAAGCAATGTGTTTCTCAAAACTAAGCAACGTCTCAAAAAATAGCTGAGTGATATAGTAACAGTGTCAGAAATGACCAAAACTGTTTTCCTATCCCACTGGCAGTGACTGGGACAGCTTTTGGCATGGAACAAAGTGAAATATGTCCTGAATTAGCCCTTCCCACGGATATAACTTTGCAGATCCTTCCCACCCAGCACTAGTGCAGCTTCCCTGAGCTCCGCAAGCAATCACAGCATGAAGTTGCCAAGAAAAGCAGTTGAAAACCCTTTTCTCTCCCCACCCCAGCAAGAACACGCAGCCGCAGCACACCATTGCACGGAGAAACATGCAGTTAATACCTGAACGAGCAGCTCCAGCTTCCTGTCATCGAGGAGGTGCACTTGGCATCTGCGGCCCTCCGTCATCTGCAAGAGAGAAGAGACACGTGTGTCAGGGCGCTCGGCTTTCCAGCGCAGCACGTGGAGCCTTTCATTCACCACAGCGCTTTCAGTCTGTGGTTTGTGTTCTGGTCTGGGGCTTTTTTCCTTTCATTAATCCCCCTTCTTTTGGCCCTGGGGAAAGAAAAGGCTGGAAGGAGCAAAAGAAAAGCCACCCTGGTAGCTGTCGTGGAGCGGCTGCCAGGAGGAGGCTGTTCCAGTGCAGAAAATGGGGCTATTCACAGCAGAAGGGCCCCAGCATTTTGTACCACAGCCTCTGGCTTCACAGAGCAGCTTGGCCAGGAGAGGAAACACCCAGGCAAGTGTCCCCAAGCCCATCAACATCCGTGGTTCAAGGTAGTGCAAAGCAAGCAAGGACCATGCTGACAGTGCTCCCTGGGGTTGCACCAGATGCTCCTTTGGCTTTGAATCCCAAAATGGGCTTGTCCTACTTGGGGTGTCCTATTTATCACGATACCGGTGCAAAAGTGCTTCCATACAGGTATAGTTTATTACAAGAGTTAACAGATAATACCTATAAGACTTTTTGGTATAGAAGACTTTTATGAGACTTCCAAGCCCCTGTAGATTGGGTGCTAAGAAATAAATGAGCCATGGACTAAGGAAGCTCCTCTACAGTTGCTCAAGCCCTTTCCTGGCTCTCTTTTTGCAGAGAGCACCGTAAGGGAAGGAGCAACTTTGCTTTGCAGTTACAGATCCCAACACAGCCCTGCAAAGCCCTTCAGAGTGCACAGGCACAATCCCACTATCTGCTAATGGGATATGGGCTGCCTAAGCCTCTTTGGCTTTTGGAAATCCCTTCTTCAGCATGACTTAGGCAGCACGCAGGCAGCCCCCCTGCTGTGGGCTTGCCCCATGACATTCACACATGTCTGGACCCACAGCAGAATGGACCCAGCTTAGCCCCACAGCATGGCTCAGCCCCACCACTCTCCAGCCAAGGCACTTTCCTGAGGCCTGATGGGATTCCCAGCTTCATTTAATAGCATTTTTTGCCATGGTGAGTCCTAAAGCATCACCAGAATGGAACACAGGGTCCACAGGAGCTTGGCAGGGGGAGTACAGGCTGCTGGGGATGTGGCTGCCACAGCACTGCATTCCTGCCCTCACACATCACCTCTCCCCACCAGTGCCAGATGAGCTAAGCCCCCAGTGCAAAGCCGCCTTGCAGAGATGTGGGCTCAGGGGGTTAGCTGAGGACAGCTCAGCTTTCTGCTTTAGCTCTGTGGGTTAAAAATCACCCACTCCTGTGGATTAATGGGGCTGGATGTGCTGACATCCCTGTGGTGTTTGGTGCCCATCAACTTCACCCATTCAAGAGGCATTGCCATGGTATCAGTGACATTGACCATCTCCAGCAGCATTGCCCTTGCCCTGTCACCTCTCACCTCTCCTGGGTGCTCCTTTCCTCCTTCTTCCCAGCTCTGTCCCATATCCATCTCCCCCTTTCCTGGAACTAGGACAGACCGAGTCTTACCCTGGCCCTGGCCTCTTTCCCATAGCAAAAATTCAGATGTGCCAAAACCTCTGTTGAGCCTCAAGCTGGCCATGCAAGATACAGAGTTTATTATGAGACAACTTCAGTCAAAATGAGCTTTTCCCTTCAACTCACTCCAAAGTTACAATCCTGGTATGCACAATCCCATGCGATCCAAGCAGGCTTTATCCCCGTTGTTATTCACACCAGCACGCCACTGGAGGATAATGCACGCTAAATAACATTGCTTCCCTTCTCGTTTTCCATGAGCACAACTGGAGCCCTGGCACTGCAGTCGAAGAAAAGCCTTATAAAACAAGGCTACTCATAAATGTCATCCAGTTACCGCCATGGCAATAAATTATCTTGCTACAAGGATTTCATCCGGTAAGTAATGTTATGCAAAATATGGCTTCTCATAATGTGTATTGCTTGGTGAGTGAGATTTTTTCCATGAAGTCTGTATTAAAAAGCTTTCAGTTCAGCTGTAAAGCTGCTCCAGGGGCTCACGGAAGGGGTTTGCAATGGTTTGACCCACTTGGACTAAGAGTTATATGGCTCGTGATAACATGGGCACAGGAAACCACAAGCTTGTTGGGCTTCCCTGACAGATAAAAGTCCGAGTGGCTGAGCTCTGCTTCAGCATCTCTCCACCCTCTTACTGTCACATATCTGTTGCATCTCCAAGATGATCATTATACAGTGATCGTCCAGTTTTAATATGAGTTTAGTCAAGGCAAGAGATAAAGCAGTGAGTTTATTGTGGTGGCAACACATGCTGTCAGGGATGGAAACACAGTCTGGCTCGCACGTATTATGCCCCATCTATTGAAATAAGTTGATATAACAGTTGAAATAAGAATAAAATAAGGTGAAAAGAAGAAGAGGGAATATTTTCTGAGGTGTCTGGCTTTGTGCTTTAGTGTTCTGGCAAAGCTGTGTGGAGCTTCTTTAGTTTTCTACTCTTTCCCAACCCATAGTTTTGTATCCCCTTAGTGCTTTCAGTGCTTAAAGAAATCCCAGATGCAAACAGCTGGTAACATAATGTATCTGAATAAAGCGAAGCTCTGAAATGCAGCACATGATGGTTGCCTGATTGCAAGGCATTTCATGAACATCACCTGAGGAAAAGGAGGAGTGAAAGCACACTGCTTTCACGTCCTCTTGTCCCCAGCAGTTCTGCTCATCAGCAACGTGGCTGTCAAAGACCACAGTCGTGTTCATAGTTTGGTGAGGCAGTGTGTGAGCACACAGCAAGGTGTGTACTGCACTTCTTTAGTGCCACCTCATTGCTGTGCCTCTCAATGGTTTGAAGGCTCATGCTACAGGCCAATGACCCCAGTTGGCAGCCTGCAGGCTGCTTCTACCTAGGCTTTTCTGCACAAGAGAGGGTGAAGAGCTGTTGCAGGAGCTGGAAAGCCTTGGTAGGGAGAAATAGACCCAACACTGGCCCCTGCTCCCAACCCCAGGTAGCAACACAGTGAAGGAACTTCTGATTTTGTCTTTGCTGATAGCTAGAAGCTCAGACCACAGTATACGTGGCTGGAGATGTATGGGACCACAGTGTATGGGGCTTTTCACTTCCCTTACAAACAAATGATGCTTTGCAAGAGAAAAGAAGATAGAAGACAGACTTCCTGCTTGATATAAACTAAAATATGGATGGTCCTGCCCTCCCTCCTTTCTGTTTTATTATTCCACCGGGTGTCTGCAGCCCACACTATGTGCTTTTTTGCATCATCAGATCAATAAAACTCTGCTAGTTTGTCAGAGCAAGAAACGGGAAGGTTTCAAAGCACAGTGAGAAGGAACTGATTTAGCACAGTCTGTCTGGGTGAAAGATGCTGCTTTGCACATTGGCTGATCTGCACTATCTGCTGCTCTACTATGGTTGGGGCTGTGGCCAGCTCCTGGGCAACGAGTCAGGGAACCCTTCTGCTTCCTTTTGTAACCAGAGAAGGGAAATCAACACCAAAGCACTATAGATTGGAACATGGGAGTAAAAGGTCACTAAGCATGAGCTGAGCAGCACCAGAGTTTGAAGGGAGAATGACTACAAGTAATGAATTGAGATTCTCCTCTCTGAAGGCTCCTACCCAGAGAAGGATCATAGAGTCATAGAGTCTATGTTGGGGTTGGAAAGGACCTTAAGGTCATCCAGTTCCAACCCCCCTGCCATGGGCAGGGACACCTCACACTAAACCATATCACCCAAAGCCTCATCCAACCTGGCCTTGAACACTGCCAGAGATGGAACATTCACAACTTTCTTGGGCAACCCATTCCAGTGCCTCACCACCCTCACAGTGAAGAACTTCTTCCTTATATCCAATCTAAACTTCCCCTGTTAAAATTTTAACCTGATACCCCTTGTCCCGTCACTACAGTCCCTAGTGAAGAGTCCCTCCCCAGCATCCCTATAGGCCCCTTCAGATACTGGAAGGCTGCTATGAGGTCTCCACGCAGCCTTCTCTTCTCCAGGCTGAACAGCCCCAACTTTCTCAGCCTATCTTCATATGGGAGGTGCTCCAGCCCCCTGCTCATCCTCGTGGCCCTCCTCTGGACTTGTTCCAACAGTTCCATGTCCTTTTTATGTTGAGGACACCAGAACTGCACACAGTACTCCAAGTGAGGTCTCATGAGAGCAGAGTAGAGGGGCAGGATCACCTCCTTCGATGGGGGGAACTGATGGGGGGGAACTGATAACTATCAGGCACAAAAGCATGGCTTTGCTTCAGCATGGAAAAGCAAAATCATAGCAAAGAGACAAGAAGTAATGGCTGAGCAGAGCTGTTGACAGAAGGACACTTGACATGGCAGGGAAGCAAGGGAGTTTGCTCTTGATCAAGTCCTGGGTTTCACTATGAGCTCAGTGAGTGGGTTTTCCTTTACAAAAACAGCCTCCTAGTTTCCTTCTGGAGAGCAAGAGCCCTCCACCCTAGATCCAGAAAGTATAAAATAAGTGTCTATTTCAACCTACCAATTTAGATGCCCTTGATACTCAAAGCAGAGAGAATTTTCAGACATTTCAAGTTAAGACAGTTCCTAGGTGAGCTCCACAGTTATGCCTGCTGCTTGCTCAACTGGGATGCTGTACCCACATCAATCCACAAATTCCCCATGCTTCTCCTTCGTGTGAGGAGGTGGGACTGTGTTACACACTCCTGAGTGCTAACAGTTCATCCATATGGCAGGGAGCTGCACATGCCGGGTATGAATACGGGCCACGTGCACTTCATGGGCCAGACTCATCACGAACTCAGATGGAGATTATGCACCAAAATACAGAACAGATTTTATTCTTTTTTTTCCCAAAACAGCTCATATCCTCACATTTTCCTGACAAATCTGCCACTTCTTTCGGTGCCTGCACAGCAGCGTGACCCTGAGCGCCTGAAGAGCTCAACACAAGTGCTTTCAAACAGCCCTGTCGTTTGTATACATGAGTGTGTAAAAACTACGGATAATATATCTTCAATACCCAAACACA